AGACACTTTGGGGCACTGTAAGTAAATGGTGATGACAGCAATCTCCTGGCATATTCAGTCCCACTGCTGGAAGCCATTTTTCTAAACAAAGTCTTCTCCTGCTTGCTCTGTAAACTAAAGCTGAGTCATGGAGTTTAAGGCCTGAAGCGACCACTAAATCATCTCATCTGACCTCCTGTAGAAGGTCTCCAACACCACCAGCACATGCACCCTAACCCAGGAACTGAAATGACACCAAGGCATTACAGCCCACAGGAGACTAGACTACTAGCAGAGAATAGCAAGAACCAAAGTGCACCAGAGCTCAAGACCCCCTGCCATGGCAGGGAATTGCTTAAGTGAGATATACCCTGACAATCCGGACAAGTGACCTGCACACACATGCTGCAGACAGAGGAAGGCGTTTCTTTCCTAACCCTCTCTCCCACCAGTTCTCATTTTGTTCTCTGTATTTATCATTTTGGTTTCTATCATCAAGTTTTGTTTGTTAGTTAAAAATTGGGTTACACACACGTATCCCACGTTCTTCTTTTACCATCCCAGTGTGTAATGGCCTCGTAGTTCTTAGCCACTATTGTGCCCGGTTCCTCCAATTATAACCTAAGGGAAGAATCACTGTGTGAGAACTGGCAAGCTAGTCTGGGCATGAGACTTTTCCACAGGTGGGTGAGACCCTGAGGCTGGAGGCTCTACCATGGATCTCTAACATCTTGAAAAACATAAAGCCTGGCTACATCAGCATTGCGGACTCCACAAAAACTTTGGTCCTCTCCCAACCTCCAGGATGGAAACAGCCCTCCATATCTCCTCACCAATTCTGAGCAGGATGCCTGCTTCCTCCCCACACACCTTCTCTTTACTTTTTACTGGCTTCTTCCCTTCAGAATCCTTGGCTCTAGAAATTTCCTTTGGGTGATGAGGTAGAGCTGGTAAGAAAGTATGCGTTGCCCCAGACAAAGGACTTCTGTGGAAGAGCATGTGTCTGCTAGAATGAATCACTCTGCTGTATTTGTGCCCCTCCCCCTTTTCTTGGGTCATGATGGCATGACCTGAGTGAGGAAAGGCATCCATTCCCTGTATCTCCTACTTCTAAGCTTCTTCCTGAGCAGCCCTCGCTTCCTCCAGCTGTTACCAACAGGCAATCAGCACCTGGAAGGCAGCCTGTTGGGAGCAGAGCAGCAATCAGCTATGACACAGCTAGTAACAGGAGTACAGAGAGGTCAGAGCTGCAATCAAATGGCTGTATGCTCAATGCTTGCTGCCTCTCTGGTGGTGACTTGGATCTGGCCTTTGAACACCTCTGAATTCCCTCCTAGCGGGAGGCCTAGAACCATATACCCACTCTTAATCCCCTTTAGAGGCAGCATTAACTTTGGGCATGGGCAGCTTTAAAAAAGCAGACTTTAACGCACTCAGATAACTGGTAGGTAAAGTCCCATGGGAAGAAAATCTAAGGGATAAAGGAGTTCAGGTAAGCTGGCAGTTCACAAAAAGACAATATTAAAGGTACAATGGCAAACTATCCCAGGCAAAGGAAAGATAGAGCCATATTTATCTCTTATTATCCTTCCTATCAGGAGCTCTTTAATGATCTAAAAATCAAAAGGGAATGCTACAAAAAGTGGAAATGTAGACAAATTGCTAGGAGGGAGTACAAAAAGATAGAACAGGCATAGAGGCAAAATCAGAAAGGCTAAAGTGCAAAATGAGTTAGACCTAGTAAGGGACATAAAAGGCAGTAAAAAGAGGTTCTGTAAATACATTAGGAGCAAGAGAAAGATGAAGAAAAGTGTAGGTCCTCTACTTAGTGGGGAAGGAGAGCTAATAAAAGATGACATCAAGAAGGCTGAGGTGTTTAAGGCATATTTTGCTTCAGTCTTCTCTACAAAGGTAAATTGTAACACAATTAATGTTAACAACAAGGTGGAAGGAACACAGGCCAAAATAGGGAAAGAACAGGTTAAAGACTATTTAGATAAGTTAGATATATTCAAGTCTGCAGGGCCTGATTAAATTCATCCTAGGGTACTTAAAAGCTAGCTGAAGCAATGTCAGAACCATTAGCAATTATCTTTGAGAACCCATGGAGGACCAGAGAACGGTAATCATAGTACATATTTTTAAAAAGGGGGAAAAGGAAGGCCCCAGGGAATTATAGATCAGTCAGCCTAACTTCGATACCTGGAAAGATACTGAAACAAATGATTAAACAATCAATTTGTAAGTACCTAGAGAACAATAGGGTTATAAGGAACACCCAGCATGGATTTGTCAAGAGCAAATCATGCCAAACAAACTTAATTTCCTTCTTTGACTGGGTTCCTGGCCTACTGGATGGGGGGAAGCTGTAGACGTGATATATCTTGAGTTTAGTAGGGTCTTTGACAAGTCCCATATGACCTTCTTGTAAGCAAACTAGAGAAATGTTGTCTAGATGGAATTACTATAAGGTGGGTACACAACTGATTGAACAGTTCTCAAACAGTAATTATCAATGGCTCAAAGTCAAACTGGGAGGAAGTATCTAGTGGGGTCCCATAGGGGTCTGCTTTGGGTCCGGACAGGTACTATTCAATATTTTCATTAATGACTTGGATAATGGAGTGGAGAGTGTGCTTATAAAATTTGTGGATGATACCAAGCTGAGAGGGGTTGCAAGCACTTGGAGGGCTGGATTCGAATTCAAAATAACTCTGACAAATTGAATAATTGGTCTGAATTCATCAAACTGAAATTCACTAAAGACAATTACAAAGTACTTCACTTAGGAAGGAAAAATCAAACGCACTGTTACAAAAGGGGGAATAACTGGCTAGGTAGTAGTATTGATGAAAAGGATCGGGGGGGGTTATAGTGGATCACAAATTAAATCTGAGCCAACAATGTGATGAAGTTGCAAAAAAAAAAAAAAAGCAAATATTCTGGGATGTAACAACATGAGTGTTGTATTTATAATACAGGAAGCAGTTGTCCCTCTATTTGGCACTGGTGAGGCCTCAGCTGGAGTACTGCATCCAATTCTGGGCACCACACTTGGGAAAGATGTGGACAAACTGGAGAGAGTCCATAGGAGAGCAACAAAACTTATGAAAGGTTTAGAAAACCTGACCTATCAGGAAAGGTTAAAAACAGGGCAGGTTTAGTCTTGAGAAAAGAAGCCTGCTGGGAGAACCTGATAACAGTCTTCAAATATGTTAACGGCTGTTATAAAGAGGATGGTCAATTGTTCTCCATGTCCACTGAAGGTAGGATAAGAAGTAATGGGCTTAATCTGCCTGAAGGGAGATTTAGTTTAGATAGTAGGGAAAACTTTCTAACTATAAGGGTAATTAAGCACTGGAATAGGTTATCAAGGGAGGTTGTGAAATCCCCATCAGTGACAGTTTTTAAGAACAGGTTGGACAAACACCTGACAGGGATGGTCTCCTTGGGCCAGACTCACTGCAGGGGGCTGGACTTGATAACTTTTCGAGGTCCCTTCCAGCCCTACATTTCTATGATCCTATGACTTTATCAGCAGAGTTAGCACATTCACAACTGGGCTATACATATCCTGAAAACTCCATAACTCTGCAACATATTTTATGAATACATGTCTAATTAGAGCCCTGCCACCCGACCCAAAACTGACAGGAGCTGACTACAAGTGTCAAGGTTGGGTGGTAAAACAACTGGACCCTCTTGGGCTCGGGTCAGCTTTCCTCCTCCTGCACATGGGGTCGGCATGATGGCAGCTGTGTGCCCGGCTCCTGCTGGCTGCTGCCACCTCACCGTGCTGTGTGCACTGTGGAGCAAGTGTGCCGAGGAGTCACAGTGTCTCTCATTCCACAATGCACACACAACACAGCAGTGGGTGGTGGCTGGCAGGAACAGGGCATGCAGCTGCTGCTGCACCAACTCCACGGGCAGGAGAGGCTGCGCTGCCTCAGGGTTGTAGGGGAGGGGGAGGGTCAGGCTCAGGTTGGGTGGGCTTGGGTCCAGGTCAGGCCTAAATATTAGGCCCATGCAGATCTCTACTTCCAATATTCACACCTCTTATTTATACCTGATATTTCTCACCATGGAGTATTTCCTCCATGCCTACAGGGGGCTCAAGGCACAGTGGAACCAATCTAATTTTGCTCTGCAGGACATGAGGGAGGTGTAGGCTTTGGGATATCTGTTTCTGAAAGGCAATCGCGGTGTGGGGGTGGGAAGCAGGGCATGCCAGGGAGGAGAGGGGATAGGGTCAGTGGATTTGTCGTTTAGCTGATATACCGGATACTGATCCTTGGAGAGAGAGAGAGAGGGCATACGAGCAGCATGAACTGCAGCCTCAGGCCTGCAGTGGTGGCCACAGGATAGCTTTGCTGCCATTTCTCCCTAATCTCTGTGCAATACTCCTACACCAAGTTTGGCTATTTTTTTTGGTGCAGAAATCAGGGTTTAGTTTTATATATATTAGAACCCAGGGACCCCAGAGCCTGGAATAAGAGACTTTATAAATGTGTCTGGGTTTAGCTGCATTTTTCATGGGAATGAATCGTCCCGAGTCAAGGGATTGCTACTGAGAATGCCCTGCCCTATTGTTCTTAATGTCTCAACCTTCGGCTAAACGGGGGGAGGGATCGCTCAGTGGTTTGAGCATTGGCCTACTAAACCCAGGGTTGGGAGTTCAATCCTTGAGGAGGCCATTTAGGGATCAGGGGCAAAAATTGGGGATTGGCCCTGCTTTGAGCAGGGGGTTGGACTAGATGACCTCCTGAGGTCCCTTCCAACCCTGAGATTCTATGAATGTCTTCAGTATAGGCTTGATCCAATGAAGGCTATGTAAATAAGCATTCTAATTGACATCATTGGGCTTTGATGAGCCCCCCTTTTCCCCCCCCCCACACCAAACAAACAAAACCCAACTATATTTAGTTAAATTTATAAGTTATTTTTTCCCCTCCAGATTTCTAGGTTTAAATGTCTGAAATGTAATAAAATAGAATGACAAAAACAAAGCTGCACATTCAATGTAGAGATCCATTATGCTTTATTTACATGCGGCACCATCTCTTTTACAAACTAGATTACAATTTAAAAAGGAATACACAAGGCAATATCTACTAACACCAAGTGGAGTAAGCACTGCATCTCTACTTCATTTGGAAAGGGGAAGATTTTAAAATCAAACATGTTTCCAATCTTTGTGTAGTAAGGTAGTATATTCATCCAGGGCAGCAACTAATTTACAAAGTCCTCAGTAAGAACGCAACATGAAAGTGCAAGAAAGCCCAAATTAATTCTTCAGTTCTTCAGTATGTAAAGACAGCCATGCATAAAGGCTGTCGATTTAATATTTTTCCAATGTATATGGCTTGACATGGTGAAACAAAAACAGATAAAACAGGTTTACAGATACTGTATACAGGTTATTTTCCAGTCATGCAACTTTTTTTTAAAAAAAGTTTAACATGTGAAGCCAAAACGTACAATCATTTCCCCCCCCTCCACCCCCCCATATTAACAAAATGCATCTGGTCCTCCTGCACATGTGTTGACATTTCCAGTGTACATAATGTACTAAAACAATTATAGGAGCCTGATTGCCAAGCAATGACATAATTTTAGAGCAATGTATGTCCCAACATTCAGCTTTGTAAAGCAGTAGTACAATATTTCTGGAGTTAGGCAGTGGCCTATTAACCAGCTATTCATATGAGAAGATATTTCACAAAGAAAATTAAATAAAAGCAGACTTGTCTAAACTGCATAAGCATTACCCTTTTTAGAATGTTTTAAAACACAACATTTAAACAATCACCTGTGCATGTGTTCTGAGACTTTATCTGTTGGGCATGATCTTTGTGTGTGTGTGTGTGGGGGGGTGTTAATGCTCAAAAATATTCCTGGAACAAAGGCCAAAGTTTCAAAAATTCCTGAATCCATACTTTGGCACCTAAATAAGTGATCTGATTTGCAAAGGTGCTCAGTCCCCATGGCTGCCGTTGGATGCTCTAAGAGATGTGACTATTCTGCACCTCTGAAAATTGGGGCCCTTTTTATGTGCCTAAATATACATTTAGGCCTGGGATTTTCCAAGGGGTCTCAAGGAATGAGGCACCCTACTCCCACTGAAAAACAATGAAAGCAGAGCACCTAACTCCCTTATGCCCCTTGAAAATTCCAGCCGTAGGTGCTTAACTTCACATATTTAAGTTTGAAAATGTTGGCCGCCAAAATTAGAGAGAGAAAAAACCTCTATGTTTTTCTAGTCCATCCCTCCCCAGGTAGTGCAGGTTTTTTCCCCTAACACTAGGAGGCCAAAACTGCACTGCGGAAGCCAATGAGAGTTTTGTCATTAACTTCAGTGGGAGCACTGAATAATAACTTCAGTGGGAGGCCCCTTATTTGCTTGAGCTTTGATTTTGATTTGTTTGAAAGGTTCTATAACTTCTCTGCCATTGATTGGATGTCTCTGAACCGACTGGTATTTCTTCATTTTCTAAAAAAAAGTGGACCATATTTTGCAAATCTGACGTAACTCCACTGATCTCATGGGAGTCACGCTGCATTAACACTGCAGTAACAAAGTTTAGCCCAGTTTGTTCAAACAAGCAGTCTTTCCCTTCCATTAGACATATTAGTTCCGTACCAAGAAAAAATAAAATTACTCGTCTTTGTTGCCGTAGTCATAACGTCAAAACAGAACTTTGTTGGTGTTAACAAAGGACTCTAACAACACAATCTGCACTCCTTATGCAGGCAAGCCCATTTAATGGGAGATTTCATCTGAGTAAAGACTGCAGCACTGGGCCTTATCTCCTTGTGTGCAACTGTGAACGATGGGGCAAATCCTGGTCACTGGCATAAATCCTGTCCTCCAAAATGGGTACAAGCAGGTTCTGCCTGCAGTGGAAGAAGAGGGGCAGTTCTGCTGCAATGTGAGTCTGCAGGAGTTGAATATCTGAAGACGTGGAGCTCACCTCAGTATGTACTGCCCAGAAGGGATTTGGGGATGGGGCACAGTTGGTGGATCTGCTGCTACATGGATCTGATGGCCATTCCCCGCTGTGGAGGGGCACACAGGCAAGGCAGTGCTAAGGCTATTTCTGCTCTGATGCTGGGAGTACCAGCTATGGAGTGGCCTGGAGAGGAGGATTCCTTGTTCCTGCTCCCAAGAAGATCCCTAGAGCAGAGCCTGGGTGCTTGGGTTGTGCATCACGGAGAGACAGTGCTGTAAATCTGGAGTAACTCACTACCATCAGTTATTCCAGATTTACATCATTGTAATTGAGAGCAGAATTTGACCCAATATGTTTTGTTATTCTGCTCTATAAAGTGGGCCAAATTTTCTGTTGGCACTATGCCATTTAAGTTATGTGAGCAGACAGATTGGTCCAATATTTCTCCAAGAAATCCAAATAAAAAAGGTGCAGTCAGTGAATATATACGGTAGGTAGATTCAGTACCAGAATCCTGTCCTACCTATGTATTTGTAACCTGCCTTAAATTAGACCATGTGAAAGGGAGAATCTGCTGCTTGCTCTATGACAGCGCCACGATGTATTCCATCCTCCAGTGGACAATAGATAGTTCAACAAAACGTCACACCAGAAATAAACACAAAGCCTGCTTTGTACCAGAGTACTTGTGCACAGCCCTCCTATTAATCAGAGAGTGAGACTTTAAGATTGAAAAGTGTCAATCAGCAAGCACAATACCACAGAAGACAAAGAAAGAAAAACACCCTCAGTTTAATTCACATTTAATGATGTACCAAAAACCTGACAGATACTGTTATACACGCCGAGTACAGTGAAGGCTTGCAGTAAAGCTCTTTACTAACTTTGGTAAAAGGTGCCTGCATCTGGACTCCTGTAAGTGAACTGACCCCTAAAACAGATGACTGCTGTACACCATTGTCGTACTGGGTAGCTGGTTACCCGAAATATCATCTCAGCTGGGGAGATCAGTAATGTGCATCATCAACTAATTCTGATGATAAAGAAAAAAACAATAAACTAGTCCCTGCCATTGATAAATAGACCACCTTAATTTAAAAAAAATGTTGTTTCACCTAATGAAAATGATAAACTCTTAGCTGCTTGATATGCTACGGGTCTACTATAATCACAACTGCACAGAGTTTACATATTCAGTAAAGGGCAGGATGAAATCAACAGGTTCATCTATAAAACAGAACAGCACAAGCATGAGGAGGTTACAATACAAAACAAAATTTCCATCACACTAGGAGCTGTTATTTCACCAATATTACTTCAGGAAACTGGAAAGTAAGGAGCAAGATGGGGCCCACAAATGTGTGCGTGTGAGTTTGTGTGTGTGTGTGTATGTGTGGTGGCAGCGGTGAAAGGGAGTCACTCCACATTGCATGGTACATTTGTCAGTGGGAACTCATGCACTGAAACTTTGGGTTAAAATGCTAGCTTGTTTTCCTAACATCCATGCATAATGATCCATTTCTGTACATAATAAAATATATTTATATATTTATATGCATAATGCTTTTATGCAAAGAAAAAAGTCTTCATATATCACTTTGGAGAAGTATGTATACACTGTCCTATTCAGAGCGTCTTCATACCAAGTTCTTATGTACCATTGGTGTTTCCTCCTCTTTTTTCCTCCCCCCGCAAAAAAATAGTAATAAAAAGTAATCAAGCTTTCCAGATTATAGAGAGAATCTATACAGCAGCACCATACCTTTTATTCATTATTATTCATTTTACAAAAGAAAACCCATATAAGCAAAACATAAAAAACTGCCTTGTCTTTCAGTGTCATTTATCCAATTACAATCTAAGCTTATATGAAAAGCTGTTTGTATAGCATTACTTTCTTGCCTTTCCCTCTACAGCTTCTTTCAGATTGGATTACGCATAGTGAGAAGGAAAAAATAATCAAGGATATGTATGTAAAAAAAAATCACTGATGTAATAACTTACCCTGCAGTGATCTGCATTTGAACTTCTGATGACTCTACTGTAAGTCACTGTTGATGCATATACTGTAAGTTATCTTTTCTGCAATGTCATATATTTTACTTCCCTTTCCTTTTTAAACCATATCCTCACAAGTGGTTACATTCAACTTGTTTGGCAATGGGTGGACAGCTTATCTTATTACTTGTTTTAAGATCAACCAGTTTCCAAACTGCTGAGGCAGACTAATTCTATTCACTGCAACCATTAGGGCAGCTGTGCTAACATAATGCAATACGTGAGATCGATCAAATCAAATCAGGTGCCGAATCAGTAAATATGATGAAATGGCACTCTCACTCAGTCCTTATAAACACTGGACAGGACTAGCAACCTTGCTAGTTTCTCTCGTTATGTAATCAACTCTGGTTTGCTGTTTATGAAAAACAAGGTATGTACCATTAAATTGAAGAAAAGGTTTGAAAAAAAAAGACAACAAACAAACAAAACCCACAAGCCACCTCTCTCTGGACTTCAGTCAGTTGCTTGGTGTAATGAATGCTACATACTCAGGTAGTGCTGATGTCTGAAGCTATGTTGGGTAATGGTAATTAGTATAGCCTTTCATTGTGCATACACTGTATTTCAGATGCACCAGGAGAGAAAGAGAAAATGGTTAAAACATCTTTAAAAAACAAAACAAACTGAAGGTTAGAGGGGTGAGATGGAGACCCCCCCCCAAAATAGAAGCCAACTTAAAATAACCCACAAACCATTAATATATTGAAACACCACATACTCATTGACAAATAACTACTGTAAAGGCTACACAGTGTGTTCTCAACAGGATGGTGCTGAACATTGTCTCCACAGTAGGTGCTTGACCATCCCATAAAAGGAAGATTTTGCATACTTTAGAACGAGTTCAATTCCGAAAAAGGAGGCTCTTCGCTTGGGTAAGGGGCCCATTAACAGTCTCTGCTTCATTAGGAAAATAATGCAGGGCTCACAAAGATCATAAGCTGTAAACGGTATCACTGTCCACTTGCTGACAGCAGATTTGGCAAAGGGTTCTCTCTTTAGGTCTCATGTCAGTTTAAGGGCCTGGAGAGGAAGAAGGAACAAAAGAAAAGAAAACAAGATTATTAGGTGTAAAAAATAACCCACCTGAAATCAACAGACAACATTAACCATTTGGAACCAGCAAGCTCAGAGCTCTCCTGCCGGAAACATGGTACACTGTATAACAACCCTAAGCATCAAGCAAATGCTGGCTTCTGGCATGGAAGGATTAATGTCAAATTGTTTAGCGTCTCCCAAAAACTAAACAAACCCTCCTAATTAAAGAACACTACGGATCAAGTCTGAATGACAGAAACCTAATCAGGGGACAAGGAGGGTGAGGTAACTTTTACCAGCAGAAGTTGGTCTAATAAAAGAGATTACCTCACCCACTTGGCCTTGCTACCATCCTGGGACCAACATGGCTACAAACACACTGCAGGAAAGCTAATAAAGCTTCTGCAAATGCAATATATTTCCAGATGATTGGTGGAAGGATCCACCAGTCTGTCTACCCATTCCTCTCTACCGTCCCTTGTGGGCCTTCCCAACATCACCAGATGGCTGGACACAACTTCTGTCTGAGTCAGACAGTAAATATCACTACAGGCATCAGCTAGAGCAGAGGTTCTCAAACTGTGGCCCGCGAGCTCCATTCAGGTGGTCTGCGGATAGTTCCCTCAAAGGTGCGCACCTGGGCGGCCGCACATGAGCGAATGAAGGGTCACCCGTCTAGTTAGTGGAGCCATGCAGGCGTGGCTCCACTAATTAGGTGCCGGACCCTGGAGAAGACACACATGTAAGGTGAGGTGGTGGCTTGGAGGGAATAAGGGGTAGGTTGGAGGGGACAGTGGGGTGAGAAGAGGGGGTGGGGGGAATTTGGGACGTGGAGGGCTGCAGCGGCCAGAGAAAGAAGCGACTTTCCCCAGTTCCAGGGCTGCGACTGCTGGGGAGAGACGGCCCTCCTTCCCAGCCCCAGCTCTGTGGGTGCTGTGGTGGTGGGGAGAGGGCACATCCATCGCATTAGAAAGGTAAGACTACCGATATTAAAATACGAGTTGTGTGCTTTTATTTGTAGAACAAAAAACATTAATTATTATTAAGTTTTTTTTTTAATATAGCGCTTTTATCTAAAGCGCTTTACAATAGTCAACTAATGGTACGAACATCTGGAAAGATCATTAAGTGGTCTGCCAAGATCCTCAGCAATTTTCAAGTGATCTGCGGAAAAAAAAGTTTGAGAACCACTGAGCTAGAGGATGCTGCCAAAGAGAAGCACAAGTTGCTCCCTTCCTCCCTGGGATTGAGGGTGCTGCTTCCTCTGTACTTCTGGCCTCTGCTGGTGCAAGGAGCAATGAACTAAAAGCTCAGGCCCTGAACTCTGACCTTCCACATGGCACAACATGCCACCACTAGACCAACAGGTGAGCCCCTACAAATTCAGTGATAATCAAAAACATTAAGGGCCACATCCTCAGCTACAGCTGAGGAGCACACAGAGCAAGTCGGGGTATGCAAGGTAGCATAACGCTCACCTCTACATTCCCCCAATGCTGGAGCTGCTGTACTGTATATGCAGGACTAATCCCAAAACATAAATTACACTGATGGATCCTAAATTAGTAACTGGAAAAGACCTGGATGTCATTGTGAAGAGCTCAATGAAAACCTCTACTCAGTGTGCAGCTGTGGTCAAAAAAAAGGAAAGAAAAAGTTAGGATATATAAAGAATGAGATAGAAAATAACACAAAAAATGTTCTAATGCCATTATATTAATGTATGTTATGCCATCACCTACTGTACTGTGTTCAGTTATGGTCACTATCTGTAAGAAATTGCACAGTAATCATGTTTGTGAGAAGAAGAAAAGCTAAAGAAACTAAAAAGCTAGAAAACACCAGTTTGGACTAACACTAACTCTGTACTGCTGGGAGAGGAGAATTAACATGGAAATGAGAGACTAATAAGTATGTATAAGAAAAGGTAACAAAAAGTTACAAATAAGTTTGTGTAACTTGTGAAGCTGTATTGTCAGGTGCTGGAGGCGACTGCGATGAGATCGTCCTCATCAGCTTCCCACTTATGAGTAAAGGGACGTGATAGAGGTATATAAAATTATGACTGGTTCAGACAAAGGGGACAATTTTCAAAGCCACTTAGGGACAGATTTTGAAAGGTATTTAGGCACATAACTATGCGGTAGAGGATTTTCAAAAGCACAAAGATGCCTATCTGCATTGCTAGGGGCCTAAATACTTTTAAAAATCTGGCCCTAGCTGACTTTTGAAAAGGGGGTTTAGGCTCCTACTTCACATAAATGCTTTTGAAAATTTACCCAACACAAATTATTTAGCATTTTGTGTAATAAAAGAACAATGGGGCATTTAATGAAACTGAAAGGCAACAAAATGAAAACTAATAAAAGGAAATGTTTTCCCCCTCTGAAACATCTCGTCTTGGTCACTATCAGGCAGTGTCACTATGGACTAGATGGACCACTGATCTGATCTGGTCTGATCTAGTTTGGCTATGTTCCTTATTTCCAGGGTGAGTAACAACAAAGGAGATCAACCAGTGAACTAGAATGTTGTCATCAAGTGACTATCTCTGGCTGCTAGAATATTCTGAAGTCTCCACCCTCTAAGTTGCCAGACACTGATCCTATAATAACATTTTACTAAAATGACCTATTCCTATACTACCAAATGACTGACAGAAATTTAATTCTGCCTCTTGGTTACTGGAGCAAGAGAACGACAGCTGCTCCCTGTACCATTACAGGAGAACTTCATTCTGAATGCCTTGGAAAGCAGATGAATTATTGTTTCACTCAATCAAAATTTGGCTTCATCCTTAATAATGTATTTTTAGATAGACTATATTTGATGAATAAGGGGATTTCTGCATGGATAAACATATCGATTTTTTCATTTCTAAAGAGTAAATTAACGTCCGCCATTCAGTAATTTGGCTGGATAGCAGGGATTCCATTTAGTAAATGTGCGATGATGCTATCACAAAAGGTCATTTGATGAAAGTGAGCCAGGTCTAGTACTCACAATATAATCTGGGCAGCGATTTATATAGTACAATAAGTACACACCCTTTTCGGTCTCATACTCCCACATTTTCATTAATTCCTTGGTATTGGTGGTGTTGGAAGCTATCACCTTCTGTAAATAGAAAAGGAGTACTTGTGGCACCTTAGAGACTACTAATTAATTACAGGAGAAAGACTCACTCCTCAGCATCAAATCAAGTTCCCTATTTAGCAGAGCATTTAAGCATATGTAAAAAGTCCCACTGACTTCAAAAGGGACTATTCACATACTTGAAAAGTTAAGCATGTACTTAAGCATACTACTGAATCGGGTCTTGAGTAAGTTATTCAGCATTTACATTAAAAAAACTATTTCAAAATTGTATTGAGAAAGAGTAGGAACAAAAAAGAAAATACTAGGGATAGACAATCACATATCTAATTTTTGTAATTTGCACCATCAAATACTCTTCTGAAACTACAAACAATATACTGGGCAATATAAAGAATAGCTAGAATGAGGCTTAGCAAAGAGACAGTGTTAAATAAGAGAAACATTCAGCTAAGGTAGCATCTGCCTGGACTGTCACCAACAAAAAGAAAGAAGTAGGTTAAATTCGTAACCTATAGACTTTAACATTGTCCCATTACATTTTATCATATACATAGACTTGCCCATGATAAACTTTGTTAGCTTTGAGTTAAGATGGCTAGACTGCAATATCCCACCACTAAAACACAGGGAAATAAGCAGTTATATCATTCAACACTCCATCCATCCCTCTGCTGATCAGTTCTCCTACTCAACTGTAAATACCTCCTTTCCATTGCCCACAGGTGTCCACCTGTGTCCTAAAGCACCAATAGGCATTCTTTCCTTTTCACCTAAGCCCCCCCCCCCCCCCCCACATCCCTGGGAAGTCCTAACCCTCCTCAACAGGCGTTCCAGTCTGATTCCGGTCAGTCAGTCAGGGGGGACCCCCATCTGGAGAACCACAAAAGTTTGCTACAGAGATACAGTCTCTGAAGACAAGTTGGTCGATCTTCAATTGAGGCACCAGTAGCTGTCCCGCCCACACCATTTCCCTTATTACTGATGGAGACAGGGTGAGAGGAATAATTAAAGCTGAAGTGTGAACAGATGTAACCAATGCAGAAAAATGTCTAATGGAGTTAGGGCACAGGTGAAGGGCAGCTGAAGAGAAGGTCAGAAGTTGGCTGGGTTTTGTGGGAGGAATGGGGAATCCATGTAGGTGGGTGGGTAGTGGACCTGGGTAGCAGATCTCTTAGCTGACTCCCTGGACTCCTGCCCACTTGTCCCCAGCCCAGTCAATTCTCTGGCTCCTATGGGTAGGTGGGCTCCCTAGTTCCATGGGTTTGGCAGAATTTCCAATAGGGAGCATATCTAAATGTTTCCTATGCAAACAGAAAAGTCAATGATCCTTTGAAGAGTTTCTGTGCCAAATTTGGAGACTAAATTGAACCAGCAACATGCGACACCAAGGCATTTCAGTCTCACTGTTAGTGTAAACCTCAGTGCACCTTGACTATGGAGTTAATACCAACAACTCTAACGCAAACACACACATGCACGCACCTGCACTAAATTCAGAACCAGTGTAAGCAGATGTAGCAGCTTTGCTAATGATAGCTTTGATTTTGGCCCTCTGCACACAGAAGTCCACAGTAACGAAGAGGGCCACTGGACTTTTTCCACAGTGGTGTGTAACCTGTAACAAACGGGAATGTGTATGTGTGCACACGCATGCAAGCAATATTAAGAAAATAGTGTCCATATTTTTAAAATCACTGACTATAAATTCATTTTGACTACAGATAGCTCAAGACTATGTTCTGTTCTATAATACGCAATTAACATTTTGAATCCTAGATGATGGCTCTGTTAATTCCACTAGGAGAAGGTACAAGGTAATCAATCAATCAATCAATCAAATGCTTTAGTATTTTCAATGTATTTAACTTGCAAGTGACTGTGTGGCAGACAACACACAGTCCTTTCATTCTGCCCCCTCCTCCTCCTCCTGTCTTATTCACCCCAGCTTGCTCCCCACAGGTTATGAACCACTTCTCTTTGCATACTTTGTGACTTGGTTGTTTGAGATGGGATTTCCCTCTATGCAATAACATTTAATTTACCACTATATAACATCATTCCACCACTGTTAAATTGGAATTAAGTCCCCCAAGCCCTGATCTCAACTCAGGGACCAAGAGGGAAACTCTTTAAGCATTACCTAATACAGACTGCTTTCCCCCTTTGGTTCCCACTGGTGTTCATTATACTGCACTGGAAACTTCTTCAAAATAGAAAGGTGACGCACTGATGTTCCCCAAGTGCAAGTCACAGCAAATGTGCTCCTGCTGAAACTGGCCTGCTCAAAAAAGTTTAAGTACAGGACATTATGTTTCTACAATATCCGAGAAGCCTCTGATCTTACCGTTCGATGGGCAGAACTCTGTCTTTCCCCCACAGACCTACACACGGGGAGAGCAGTGGTATCAACCGTGGGTGAAATCCTGGCACCACTGAACTCAGTGAGACTTTTGCCATTGACTTGGGTCAGGATTTCAACTTGCATGTTCAGCACTACCGGCATTCTGCAGTTGCAGGGCACGATGCTGCTGACCAAACGTACAGGTTAGTTAGCTGGAGGAAGAGGATTTAGATATGCCTGCAAGATAGTGAAATCATGCTCTGCATGAGACATTGTGTGCTAGCTGGCACGGTAGATAATTCCTATGTTCTCTGGAACACGAGAGAGAGGTCAGGTCTTGCTACATGTGTTAATAGGAAGAGGAAGTGGTATCCTAGTGCCTCTATGAAGTAGAAGGAAGGATTTTACTACCACTTTTGTATCTGAAGAACAAATGCCACTTTCGCAGTGAGAGGGTAAAAAGTATCTTGCTGACTGACAGCAGAACTAGACATAGTGAATTCTGGATTATATTGCAATAGAAACATAAAATCTACTCTTCATTACTCCACATGTATTTACCGACAACTTGCTTTTCCTCTGTCAGATTAGGGTCGTGAGCACCTCTTTAAAAGGATCCTTCCTGCCATACAGACTTCCCATTTTCTGTTGAAGTTAACTGAAAATGACAGGCCAATAAGCCAAGCAAAAATCACTAAAAGGAAGGCGCGCCCTATAGATATGATAGAGGAAAGGTACAATCTCGTCTATCACAAGCTCCAGAGGGGCAGAAACTCAGAAGGAAATGCGACAGAGAGAAAGTTCTCCCACTACATCAAATTTCTCTAGCCCTCCTTGAAATCAATTACTTTTCTGTGAAAATCAGGAAAAGAAGAATTTTGAAACAAGGCAATATAAGAAAAAAGACTGGAGAAAACATTAACTGAGAATGAAAATGTGCACAAACACCCACTGTTCTTTCTAGAATAATCCGGAAAGGCATTTTTCTCTTGAAACTGATCTCAGACCTTCAGGGCCACGCCGTGACCTCTGTGAAATGAGTTTAGTGCTCTCAGTCCAATTACCACTCAACAGATGTCCACCTCACACACCCCACAACAACTGCCACCCTCGCTGGCCATCTCAGTAGAAAGACCAAGGATTAAATGCTCCTGGAGACTGAGAGCACAATTTACAGGCTCTTATGGCATTCATTATTGCAGTATCTGAGTGGGGAAGCTTGAACTGCTGCGGTCTGTGCTGTACCTATCTGTGAACATAATATACAGCAGTCTCCAGAACTGTCCATCACCTTAATCAAGCACAGAATTCACATGAAAAAGTGTTTTTTAAAAAAAGACCGCTCTTGACCCTGTGTTTCTAAAATGAACCTCTATGTGCTTGATTCTTTAAGAAAATTGTGTTTTTTAAAGGATTATTAAAAAAAGGCACAATGTTCTTTAAAAAGAAATCAACTTGTAACCATCACAGTTATTAGGCAGTAGGACATTTCAGAACAAATGCTAACCTGCAGTTCTAAACAATCACTACAGCTCATTCACAGGAAAAAATTTTTGCAAAGACCCATCCTGTAATAAAATCCTAATGCTGTTGATACAAAGAGGAAAGCATTTGGGAGACCAACTGATGCAGGTTGTTCTAAAAATATCAGTTTATGCTGTCATCTGGTGAGAGTATGTCATCCTGTAATCTTGCATGGATGGCATGCAGGGATGGCAAGTTTCAGCTAATTACTGCTCTTGAATCACATGACAAAAACATACTGTACTAAAAAATAAAATACAATCCATAAAAATAAAACAAATCCAGAAAAAAAAAGAGGCAACATTAGAAAATTTCTGGTTTTGCAGTTGTCTTTTCACAACTCTATTCTATGGAGGGGATGCTGATTTTTATAGATTATTTTTCTTAGTTAATAAAAAATAACAAAAAGTAAAATCCAGCCCAACTCCAGATAAACCAACCTACCAATTGCAGAAGTAGTGAACAATTCAGTGATTATATTTTGGGGCCTGTCACAGGTGACTGGCCCCTTTATGAGCAAGCAGGGTCCAATGCAGCTGGACTGATTACTTACTGCCCAATTAGGCTTAAGGGAAGGCACCTGAGTCTTTCAAAGGGAGAGACAGCTGCAGGTGATTGTTGGCAGAGGTGTGCAGACAGCAGGGAGTAAAAAGTCTCCTGCAGGGCCGTGAGTCAGTAGGGGGAAGACACCAGCAGGGAAGGCCTGTGGAGAAGGTCAAACTCCAGGCAAGAGGTGCTGTGAAAACAGGAAGCCAGACCCTCAGGAACTGGAGCAGAAGAGTGTTGGAACTCTGAAGGGAAGCCAGACCCTCAGGGAAGAAGGGCAGTGCCATTTGGGAATGGGGTGAAGAAATGAATTTTAAAGAAAGGACAGACATTTAGGAGCGAGGGGCTAAGTCCAACTGAAACTGGGATGAAGACTTCTTACTCTTTGAGTTCTATTTTGAAAGACTTTGTACACGTCTTAATAAGCTGAATCCTTCCTCTCAACCAGGGAATGTGCTAGGACCATGAGAACCACTTCCAGCATTAGGCTGGAGTAGTCTCCCTTGTTGCTCTGCAGTCTTAAAGGGAGGATTCCTCTCTTTTTGGACATACCTAGTGCCTTGCAGAGATCTTGGGCGGGGTACATAGGGCCGAAATTCCCTCTCGTGCATAGTCATCTGGATGGTTCAATTGTCAATCTTCTGGAGTTGACTGTAAACCCCATGATTTGACTGTAAATGTAGTGTATTTATTAATGATAAGCACATCCCTGCCATGGACCTGTACATTTTATTAATTGGAATTACAATAATCTATAAAAAATTTAAATAAAGGTATTTTTTTATAAATGACAAAAGCTGGTGAATGTGATGTTCACCTGGACACAAACCTGATACGTAAAAGCTTGCCTGGGGTGAAACAACACTTAACATTAAAGTACACCATCAACTCAAATACTAATCCATTAACAGTGAGTCAGAAATATTTTAGGTACTACACCTTCCTCTGTATCCTCCTGCCAAAACTTTTGTGGTTTACAAGAACATTTCCTAATCGTCAGCATATTTCTTTCTCTCTTCTTACTATCACCTTTAAATGACCCACACAAACAAGTGGGGAACTCACTAAGGATGACTGGAAAAAGGCTAATGTAGTGCCAATCTTTAAAAAAGGGAAGAAGGAGGATCCTGGGAACTACAGGCCAGTCAGCCTCACCTCAGTCCCTGGAAAAATCATGGAGCAGGTCCTCAAAGAATCAATCCTGAAGCACTTGCATGAGAGGAAGGTGATCAGGAACAGCCAGCATGGATTCACCAAGGGAAGGTCATGCCTGACTAATCTAATCGCCTTTTATGATGAGATTACTGGTTCTGTGGATGAAGGGAAAGCAGTGGATGTATTGTTTCTTGACTTTAGCAAAGCTTTTGACACGGTCTCCCACAGTATTCTTGTCAGCAAGTTAAGGAAGTATGGGCTGGATGAATGCACTATAAGGTGGGTAGAAAGCTGGCTAGATTGTCGGGCTCAACGGGTAGTGATCAATGGCTCCATGTCTAGTTGGCAGCCGGTATCAAGTGGAGTGCCCCAGGGGTCGGTCCTGGGGCCGGTTTTGTTCAATATCTTCATAAATGATCTGGAGGATGGTGTGGATTGCACTCTCAGCAAATTTGCGGATGATACTAAACTGGGAGGAGTGGTAGATACGCTGGAGGGGAGGGATAGGATACAGAAGGACCTAGACAAATTGGAGGATTGGGCCAAAAGAAATCTGATGAGGTTCAATAAGGATAAGTGCAGGGTCCTGCACTTAGGATGGAAGAATCCAATGCACCGCTACAGACTAGGGACCGAATGGCTAGGCAGCAGTTCTGCGGAAAAGGACCTAGGGGTGACAGTGGACGAGAAGCTGGATATGAGTCAGCAGTGTGCCCTTGTTGCCAAGAAGGCCAATGGCATTTTGGGATGTATAAGTAGGGGCATAGCGAGCAGATCGAGGGACGTGATCGTTCCCCTCTATTCGACATTGGTGAGGCCTCATCTGGAGTACTGTGTCCAGTTTTGGGCCCCACACTACAAGAAGGATGTGGATAAATTGGAGAGAGTCCAGCGAAGGGCAACAAAAATGATTAGGGGTCTAGAACACATGACTTATGAGGAGAGGCTGAGGGAGCTGGGATTGTTTAGCCTGCAGAAGAGAAGAATGAGGGGGGGATTTGATAGCTGCTTTCAACTACCTGAAAGAGGGTTCCAAAGAGGATGGCTCTAGACTGTTCTCAATGGTAGCAGATGACAGAACGAGGAGTAATGGTCTCAAGTTGCAGTGGGGGAGGTTTAGATTGGATATTAGGAAAAACTTTTTCACTAAGAGGGTGGTGAAACACTGGAATGCGTTACCTAGGGAGGTGGTAGAATCTCCTTCCTTAGAGGTTTTTAAGGTCAGGCTTGACAAAGCCCTGGCTGGGATGATTTAACTGGGAATTGGTCCTGCTTCGAGCAGGGGGTTGGACTAGATGACCTCCAGGGGTCCCTTCCAACCCTGATATTCTATGATTCTAAGGCCCTGATGCTGCAAAGGGATATGGAAAGTGAATGGGGCATAAAGTTTGGTGGCATAAAAATTCACCAGCACAGAATCCCATTGATTTCCTATATTCCTTGCAAGGTCAGACCCTGACTTACTACTCAGGGCAACAGTGAAGTAGACTATAAGCAATGTGCGGTATATGCACAAAGTAAAAGAACAGAGAAAAGCCAATCTTTGGGAAACGTTTCCTGAAATATGAAGAAACTGACAGCACAGTTTAGAGTAAAAATAAAAACACCAAACTAATGTCTATACATTTTTACAAATAACGTACTGAATGCGATAATTAAGCACCCAATCCTGCAAGGTGCTGAACCTCTCCTGTGAGGTACTGAATGCCAATGGGAATTGAGAGCATTTGTAGCAGGTACTTAGTGCATTGAAACAATACAGTTTATTACATGCAATAATGAAGCACATGCCTTATTCAGATTTTACTCAATCTTTATCCATGGACACTGCTGCGGCAATGTGCTGGCTATCAAACTTAAGATATACATTTGTAGTCATTGCTACCTACCCAACCCATACGAAAGAAGAAGAATGGGTTGTCAGCATTGAGAATAAACTCAAGGCCTGAATCATGCAAT